TGGCTGCTTCTTCGGCGGCGGTACTTAATGAGCGGGAAATGTGGTTCCACCGCTCGCATATGTCGGTTTGTTGAAGAGTGCTCTCTGAGAGCAGGTGTGAGAGTGGAGTAGCGAAAGCACTGGCTGTCTGTTGTGATTGCAGCTTTTCGACGTTAAGCTTTCCTTGCATATTTGGGCGCACATTTTTTGCTGCACAGAGGAGGTGGGTATCTTGGCTGCAACAAGATAGTGGTCCGAGTCGATGTTTGTGCCTCGGAGCGTGCGTACGTCTAAAACACTGGAAGCATGCCTTCCGTCTATAACAATATGATCGATTTGGTTTCTCGTTTTTCGATCCGGAGACAGCCACGTAGCTTGATGGATCTTTTTATGCTTGAACCTAGTACTGCATACTACCATGTTGCGGGCCCCGGCGAAGTCGATCAGCCTCAATCCGTTGTCGGACGTTTCGTCGTGGAGGCTGAATTTTCCGACGGTGGTTCCAAAGATCCCTTCCTTGCCCACACTGGCATTGAAGTCGCCAAGCACGATTTTGATATCATGACGGGGGCAACACTCGTACGTGCGCTCCAAGCGCTCATAGAAGAGATCTTTGGATGCCTCATCCTTCTCTTCCGTCGGGGCATGGGCGCAGATGAGCGAGATGTTGAAGAATCTCGCTTTGATGCGGATTGTGGCTAGACGCTCGTCTGCGCTCTTTTACATGGCAGCTGTAGTAGACTTCGCAAGGCCCCAGACATTGCTTGCCTTGCCCCATCCAACGCTTTTCTTACCACATCAAAACGCACTCAAAAATAAGAGGATCTCCTCTAAAACACCCATATTTATTCCAAAAAAAAATTTAGCTTTTCTTTTAACTATCAACCGACAAATTCTGCCAAATCATTTCAGTATTTTTTATTTTTTTGGAAAACTTAAAAATTGTATACAGCAATCATAGTTGACACGCACTACTTAAAAAAAATGGAGATTATTAGTAAATTAACTAAAAATAAACTCAGCAAACCTTGTGCTTGATAATTTTACTTTTTTTCATGGTATTTATACTAGCAATATTTATAAAATTTACAAAAAGCCCTATTTTCTTTTGGCTATTCATATGTTTGTGATCAGCTGATTTGCTTACTTGCAAGTTTTCGTAGCTAAAAATTTTTCCAGAAAAATATGCAAATCTCAATGTCATTTTGGGCTCTCAATTTCCCCTATTTTGCAAGTTTTTTGGGTAGGATAACGTAGGAACTGTGCTAGTTTTTTGCAATTTTATATAATTTTGAAAACGAGAACCTCGTTATTTCTATAAAAGCATATACATATTTTGGATAACTTTTATATAGAGGATTATTCTAATTTAAAGCCATTCAACTGTGTGTATGGTCATTTAAATCTTGGTACTATTTCGGTTTATTTAGTACATTATTTTTGGCCATTTGGTACAAAATTAAAATACTCATTTATCATCCCTGGTTAATACAAGGAGATAGCGAGAGCACAAAACTACTCTAGACAAGTAAGAAAGTCTAAGTTCGGGCGGAACCGAACATTAAATACCCGCCGCAAGTATTTAATATATGACTTTCATCTTTCCGAAAGCTACCGCTACATAGTATCTCGGGGCGTATCAATTTTGAGTAGATTAGAGTCCTTAAATTTCGAAATTTTGAAGTTTCAAGCAGTTCTGAAATTTACCGTTATATGAAAATCGGCCTCAATTTTAGTCTGATTTCAATAATTTTCAATGTTTTGCTTTTATGTGGCAAGCACAATAACCATACCGAGTTTGGTAAAAATTGGTAGAACGGTTACCGAGATACATATATGTGATCATAAGTGGGCGGTGCCAAGCCCACTTTCCAAAATTTTATCACAAACGTATTTCCTGGTTAAGAATTGTTGCAAGCGTCAATTTAGAATAAATTAGCTTTAATATTTACTGATTTATCGAAGATTTTGTATTTTTCTAAATTACCGTTATATGGGATGTGGGCGTGGGTATTGTCCGATTTTAAAAATTTTCAGCCATTTGATATACTGTGCGAAGTCCAACAACTGTGCCAAGTTTGGAGGAAATCGGTGTAGCGGTTACCAAGATATACACATGTAACCATTTCCAAAAATTTATAATATTCTTATTTTTCGTCTAAAACTTATTGTAATTATCAATTTTTAGTGAATAATCTCCAGTAGTAACTTAAATATCGCAGTTTTCGTATTTCTGAAAATTACCGTTACATTGGAAGTGGGCGTGGTTATTGTCCGATTTCGCCCATTTTCAATACCAACCGGTAGAATAACTGGAAACCTACATACCAAATTTCGTTGAGATATCTCAATTTTTGCTCGAGTTATCGTGAACACGGACGGACGGACAGACGGACAGATGGACAGACGGACAGACGAACGGACAGACAGACATGGCTTAATCGACTTCTCTATTCATTCTGAGCATTTATCTATACATTTGTCTATATCTATCTCGATTCGTTTTGGCTGTTACAAACAACCGTTATGTGAACAAAATTAATATAACCTTGTGCACAAGTGCGCTCGGGTATAAAAATTACACGCACAATGACAAACATGAACAAATGTACAACAAACACATAATTTTTGACAATCAGTACAGTTCGCATTTATATCAACGAGCAGCTTATTAGATTTGTTTTCGTTTGTACTACATATGTATACATTAACACAAACATATGTACATACGTACAAATATATACAACCATTCAAACATATGTATATCAGACATTGGCAAAGGGTGCTGTTTTTGTGACTTTAAGCCTACTCACGTTAAAAACGGGGATGAACGAACACCAGCAGAGAACATGTATTTACATGTATTAAATTAACATTCTCTGCACCAACGCAAAGCGTGCTGTCTTGCAAATACAGCCACCACAAGTGAACGATGCTTATAACAGATCATACCAAGGATGCATCGTAACGTTAAGTTTCACGTTAATCAAATAATTTCAATCGTTTCGGTTGAAACATTTGGAAATATTATTGTTAAAGCAGTTATCAAAATAAATTTCATTACGTTTTTAACCGAAACGAAAAGTTGTCGTTAATGTTGAAACGTTAATAAAAACGTTAAACGTTTAATTTGAAGTGTGCTGGCAATGCCATAACAAGCAGTCAACAGCGTTGCCGTTTTGATACAATTGTATTATTTTTGATACTTTTTTTTTCTAAATTGTAGGATTTGATACTTTGATACTATTTGTTCACAAATGTCCCATTTTGATACTTTTGGCTGGCAGAAATGAAGTTTTGAAAACTATGAGTAGATAATATTACTAGTTTAAAGGCAAATAATTTTTTTCTTGTTATTTAAAGTCTTAAAATTTATATATATGTAGATATTTATAAGTTTGATTTGGTAACTCTTATAAGGGAAATACAATCCGGAATTTCTTTGCCACACGCCGCTGTTATAGGGCCCCTAAACCACACAAAAACATTGCGCAATACCGGGCTTGCGTCGGTCGTTTGTACTAAATTGCACAGTTATTTAGCTAAAATCAAAATCATTTTGATATTTTGCTCATGCTTGTGTTATTGTACAATAATCGTGCTATAAAATATGGATAAGATCGTAGAAAAAACTAAAATTTTTTTTTAATACCCTTTTTCTCGTTTTAAAGCTGAAACTATCAAAATATACAATGCGCATTGTTGCACATATTTACTTGATATAAAATAGTTTTTCGTTATGCAAATAAGCATACAGATTTTGTTAAAGCAAGTAATTTAAATTTTTTTGTTACTATGGATTTAATTATACAATTTTATTTATTTGGTTTTCAAATGCAAGTTTAACAAATAACAGTTTTGATTACTTTTGATACTTTTTGATACTTTTTCTGCTCGGCAACTGATACTTTTTTTCAAGCTCGCGGCAACGCTGGCAGTCAGCTGTGTGAAAATACATAAACAAGACAAGTGAATACGATTGCAGGAAATTTTAAATAAAAGTCAAAAGTCGTCGAATTATCAATTAAGTTCGGAAAAATATGATCAAAAAGATTACATCGCGTTTGTTTAAGGTATTTATGCAATAATATTAATAATTAGCAATGCATATCATCAATTTTCTTTCCAGCCACAGACATTACTTGGTACAATTTGTTGAGAGATCTCCAAAATGCGTGATCGCCGCTACAATTAAGAATAATTACTATGTAGATGGCTGAGTTAATTTTGGAGCGTACTTGCAGACTCAATAAGCGCAATTAAATCAATAATGCCGGAGCCGCTTTTGGTGGAGCAAATAAAATGCATTTAAGAACTACCTCACCACATCTCTTTTAAATCCACAAATGTTACCGAATTCGCAAATGACTGAACGTGAGACTCGTTGTTGCAGAAGCAAACAGCTTCGCTCTTTCAAGAAATTGTATCCTGAGAAATTATACTTTTAAACAAATGCTTCAGTGGAGAATTTTCATTGTTATTTATTAATTTATTCCTGTATTTGAAACTACAATGAAAACATGAATTCATTAGTGTGTGTACATACATACAAACATATATGTACATCTGTAAAAAACAAACTAAATAAAAAAAATACTCTTCCGGTTTAGTTTAAAAAAACTGAAAATAGTGATTGACAATGGCACAGTTTTGGCATTAAATTTGTAAATTATCTTGATATTTGCTTGATATTATGTGTATGGGTATTCATTTACAGCTGTGTTCATAAGTGTTTACAAGCGAGTGTTCATGAATTAATCCTACCATACAACTTACATACAGTCACTCACAAAAGTTTTTGTAATTTAGTTTTTTCACAATATTCAAAATGTTATACATCATTATTCTTTCTCTATAATTTTCATTTAAAATATAACTCATTCTGTAACAAAAACTGCAAAAATAATTTTCGGAAACTTTTTAACGAAAAAGATTTATGATGGAAAGCATTTTGAATATTCTGAAAAAACTAAATTACGGATACTTCTGTGAGTGACTGTATGTATATACGCAGTGTGAGTTTATTTGTTATTTAACCTTAATAGTAAAATAGTTTCGGTCAAATCATCACTTAAATTTGACCTGTAGTCGTTTACAATGTATTTAAGTGTAGAAAATGCACGCTCTACACTCACTTGCGTTGCCGGAGTTGCATGGATAACTTGGGAAAGCTGATACAAGTTTTTGTGTGTATATTTCTTTCGTTCCCAAAAGGCAGCTAAATTTTCTTTTGTGTCTGTTGATTCATTGAATGATTCAATAGCTGAATATCCTTCTAAAATGCATGAATCGTTGGATGTAGTTGAACTTATTTGATTTAGAAGTTCTCCAAGCAAATCTGTATCCTCACTATTGTCCTCGCTTTCTATTGTAACACTGATGTCTTGTCCGAGCTGTAAAAAGTGATGCATTTTTTTTTAATTTTGAGGAATTTACAAACATTACTATGGCTATTACCTGTGTAGACAGAGCACTAACTTTCAAATGTAACGCTTTCAGATGTTCAATGGCTACTAGTCTCATATGCGAGAATTCCAAACTTTTCAACAAACGATGTAGCCTAGGGTCTAGGTAAATAGCTGCAGCAACTGTTGGATTACCAAGTAAATTTTTTTTTTGTTCGTTTATTGAATTGAACAATAGTTTTGAAATGTTTGAGTGCTCGGAGCCTTTTTTTACCGTTAAGCAAGTTTCTAAAAAGAATTTTATAAAGTCGCCGAAAAGTAAGTTGTGATTTTGAAGCTTTTCCGTCACCACTTTCATAACAGAAAAGCTTTTTAAAAAATCGTCTACAAAATCCCAGTCTATGGTTTGATTTTCAAAATTGTTTTTGATGAATTCTTGAAGCATTTTTAAGCGTTGTACTAAATTGTACGAGTAGCTCCAACGTGGTGGGCATTCAGCAATTGGTGGTGGCAAGTTATACTTGACTAGAATTCGATGCATTGCTGGTGTGCGGAGCTTTTTTGCAATTGCACGGCATTCTTCAAACATGTGTTTTACATCTGCATGTTTTAAAACATCGTGCACACTCAACTGCAAAGTGTGCGCGGCACATCTTATAACAGAGAGAGTATCTGAAATAAAATGGTTTATTATAAAAGTATGTTCATTAACTATACGCCTTACTGAAGTGAGTAGCCATGCAATTATCAAACAGCGGATCGTCGAAAATATTATCACATGGAATAAAATCCATATTTTCTTCGGCTTCATCCTCGTCATGGTCAAACGTGCTTTCGACATGTTCAGCCTCGTTCTGTAAAAGCGTACCACATCTTATCATATTCCGTCCGTTGTCGCTTGTAATGCTGTATATTTGCTCGATACAAATATCATATCTGCAAACGTTAAACATTAAAGAGCTTCAAATAAATATGTGTACCTACTTTTCTAAGGTCTCCAAAATTATTTGTTTTAAATTGTGTGCTGTATGCTTTTCTGTGAAATTTTTCACGGAAAGGGTTTTAACAACTATTTCTCCCTTATCTAATAGTTGCGCATTAACACATACAACATTGCGGTAAAAACGTTGAGCACTATCAATTTTTATGGAAAAAACTCGATTTTTGAAAAATTGTTTTAAACGGTCGATTTCGATTTGCATTTGTTTTTTCAAAATATGTTGTATATTGTTTCTGTTAATTTTATGTAGCCCAACATGCTCACAAATGGGGCCTAATAACTTTTGGAAAGCGTTGTTATTGAAAACTCGCAAGGGAAGGCCACATTCAGTTACAAAAGCAGCACACAAGTTTTCAACGTCGTTCTTGGGCATCTGTAACAGGATTTTATATTTTATATCTTCTTGAATGGTCTTCATTTCCATGCATGCATTATGCTCGCTGTATTCGTTTTTATGCTTTCGGAATAGATGCGACTTTAGATTTCCCAGGTGATCAGTAGAAAGGTTCTGACCACATATTTTGCATGTCATTTTTCCATCTATATTTGCCGTATAAAAGTGACGAATTGCATTGTCCCGCTTTGTTCTCATTGTCAGTTATTTCTTTTTACGGTTTTTTTTTTAATTATGATGTATTAAATCAACCGAAGCTTATATCGTGAGCCTTCGTGTAAATACAAAGCTCATCGTGTTTTGTTGAAGCGTTGCCAGCACAGTGTGAAATTAACGTTAACGCTAATTTTTTAACGTTTCAACATTAACGCTTTGATTTCGTTTTGATAACATGGCGCCGAAACGTAACAAAATCTTTTTGTTAAGTTAATTTTGCTTTTTAACGAAACGAAATGGTATCGTTTCGTTTGTTGAGCATCCTTGGATCATACTGATATTGACTTCGGCAAACCTGTACTCCGAATCAGTGATCGGACTTCTACCACATTGTGGTAGATCTGCCACTTTTTTGAGCATCTACCGAGAAGATGCAAACAACAACTGGAAACTATTGAGTGTCGGAACTTAACAGATTTAGAAGGTTTTAACCACGGAATCCACTTTTTGCAGATTTTTTGGTGGTTGATTCTGTTAAATTCACTGTTATCGGCACAAAATAATGTCTAGCAACATGTATATTGATATACTCCGTGTTGCAGGGTAGTAAATCGGAATTTTGAGATATTTTTACTTAATATTGCCAATTTTTAATAATTTTTTTAAATTTTGCTTTTTTATATGCAAAACAATTATAATGATAAGAAGCTAAAGTTTTGAGCGATAAAGCAAATATAGAACCGGAATTGTTTGATGCAAAACCATTCCGATTAATTGATGCCAAATACCATTTGCATAGGTATTTTACATATTCCATAGATTGTTATTTTTTTTAGTACTTTTTTGGTATATTTATCTTTAAAAAAAATATATTTGGCAAAAAGAAAAAATCGAAATCATTGAAAAAATTATGTACATGCCACTGAATAAATGAATCGAAACTGAAAGTTTTTACAAAGAAGTTTTTATTAATTTTTCGCAAATACATATATGTATGTAGGTATGTGGCTATGAAATATTTTTCCGTAACTACAATTTCATCGAAGCATATTACGCTGCCCGACCTCTTATGGGATTTTTTATGCATATATTTTATAAATACAAATCAATTTATAAAATATACCCCAAAGGTCAAGATAAAATAAAAAAAGGAAAATTTAATTACTTTAATAAAATAGAAACGAAAAAAAAAATTCTCCAACTGGGATTTGATCCCCAGCAAAAATGCAACACGCGAAAATAATCCTGCGCCTCTAGCGCATCCACCACACAACACATTGAAATTCGAGCGCCTAAGCAGTGTTTTATGATGTCGTTCAATTTCATGCGCAAGCTTACGACGCTCAAATTTCGTGGAATTTTGTGTGCAGAAAACCACCATTGTTTTGCCAAATTTTATTAGTTGATGAATATTTTGATGTTTAATGAAGAAATTGAATATTATCTATCAACATTGAAGAAATATTAAATTAAATGGTTATGATCATATGTTTAAATTAATATTTACTTGTGAATAATACATAGATATAAATGTGCATATGTACAGGTAACAAACTATGTACATACCAGGGAATGGCATTGGTTGATCGTCAACTGTTCATACTCATTCAATACCGCTGCTTTGTATGACTGAGCAGCGGCGTTGGCTTAGTAGTATCGATACCTAAACGAAATTAGAGGATGACTGAACACGAGCGCATTGCGTGCTGTCTTGCAAATACAGCCACCACAAGTGAACGATGCTTATAACTGCTCATACTGATATTGACTTCGGCAAATCTGTACTCTGAATGATCGTGCACGAAACCAGCAAACGTGGCACGTGAACGGCTCCGAAAACATGAGAGTCATCATTTGTTGCAGAAGTCGTTTGACTTGTTGCTGAAAATCATCTGACTTGTTGCTGAAAGCCATTTGACTTGTTGCTGAAAATCATCTGACTTGTTGCTGAAAATCATCTGACTTGTTGCTGAAAATCATCTGACTTGTTGCTGAAATGACGACGAATGTGGTAAAGGGTAATTTATCGTCTCGTATGCATGTATGTATGTATTTATAGCGCGTCTACCATTCAATTGCATTGCTCACTGCTGGCTAGTTGTGAGGAATGTGCATACGTACGTACAAACATGAGCCGTCCACAAGTTGATTTGCGTCGCGGCGATGACAAAATCTAAAAATCTAAAATTTTATCAACCACCGCGCCGATTGGAAAAGTGGCAACAGCGGTCAAAATCCCCCTTCCCTTTGTACACTTCTGTGATCTAAATAAAATATTTTTTCCACTTGTTACCGAAATCATGCATCTGCGCCGACAAGTGCGCAAAATCACTTCGATTTCGTTTCCCCCGTCTTGTCAACGGATTCTTCTTCTTCTTCTTCAATAACTTCGATGCCGATTGAAATGCAAAAAATTCATTTCAACCACCAAATTATTCTTTATTTTATTTTAGAAATAAAATTCATAAAAACCCACCGCCTCGGGTAGGATATGAACCCTGACAACAACGGCAGCAAAGCGTCATTTGTTGCCACGCATCAACCAACTATGCTCCAGCACTTACTAAAATTCATGCATCTTACTGGCTACATGTACTATCGATTTTGCAAGTACGAATATCCGAAAATTTTTGTATTTTCGTTGACATATCTACATTTACGTACCAAAGAATATATGTGCGTAAATGCTTTTTCGCTTGTATGCATAAAGAAAAATGCCATCAGATACCTAGCAAAACTTATCAAAATTTTATCCAAAATTAAAAAGAAGTCGATTTTATTAACATTTCTTTACTATATTAATATGTATATGTATTTAACAATAACAAATGAATTTGGCTTAATATTAAATTATATTAAAATATCAAATGAAATTATAAAATACACCTGAAAAGATATGTACAAAGAAAAGACATCTGAAATGAAATAAAATAAAAACCCCTGAAAAGAAATTTAAATAAATATAAAAATTAGTAAAAAATATAAGTTTTTGATAGTAATAAAACACGAGCTGCACTGAGAAAAAGGATTAGTTTCGACAACTAAAGATATTTAGTT